TAATGATGGTGATGATAATTTTTTCACATTCAATGTTACTATTTTTATTATTTATATTTTTATTGTTTTATAAGATCTCCAAGGTTATTGTAAATAAAATTGTAAATAATAGTGTAGATATTATTTCAAATAATATTATAAATATTATTGTAAATATTACTGTAAATAATATTGTTAATAAAAACGTAAATGATATATTGTAAATATTGAAAATAATATTGTATATATTATAAATAATTAATTGATTTGGATTTTAATTGTGTAATTTGTGTAATTATATTTTACTTAAAACACTACTTAAAATGCTGCTGCTGCTGCTGATGATGATGATGATGATGATAATAATTTTTTTACATTTAATATTAATATTACGATTATTTAATTTTTTAAAGTTTTATAAGAATTCAAATTTACTAGAACTTTTTTCTGAAAAATATTAAATAATTTTCTTATTTCAATAAAAAAATATTTTAAAATTTTGTTTATTAATATTTTCAATGCCTATTACGTTGGTGATTTAAATCATTTGTTATTTGGTATTTTTGTGAAACAACAAAATAAAAACTGCTTAAATTTAGCTATTTTTATGAACGTAATTTAAATTCTCAAAATCAGTACCACACAAAAATATTTTAAGTTAATTAAAAGTTAATAAAAGCTACGATTTCGACTCAAGGGCTATTTTCTGACCTAAGAAAATAATAAAAAATGGTTAATAACAAAATAAATTGGGTAAACGAATAATAATTTAATATTAATAATATTTAATTAATTAAATTAAATTTATTGTTTATCTGTGTAATATTTCATGTTTATGTATTTAATAAATTTTGATGTTGCATTGATCATGATTTTATTATTATTTGTTATTTTGTTAAACGATTTGAAACAATTTACTAATTTTTTATGATGAGCCCAAATGTTATCATTGTTTCTAAACAATTAATTAAAAAGTCAATTATTATTTTTTTTGTGGAATTTCACATAGATATAATTAATTATAATTTTTCACATTTTCTACACAAAAAGTCTAAAACTAAATGACATAAACAATGTTTCTATTTTTTATTTTACCACAAATTAAAAACAAATAATATATCTAATCGACAAGTTGACTTAAAAATGTATATTTAATAGAGGTTTAATTCAGGGTAAAAAAAATTGTCGACATACCTGTGATATAACGAAAGAAATCAAAATCAAAATCAAAAAATCCATGGTGACATTTATTTACGATATGCCCATCAGAGGAACGATTTTATAAAAAAGAAAGTGAAGAATAAGAAGAGAAAAGTGAAAATGATAGATGATATTGGAAATTAATCGAATGAAAACATGTTTTTTGAGGTGTATAGGTATACTCTTTATATTACTATAACGTAAACAATTTTTTACTCCTTCAAATTGTTTGTAGTAGAACATAAAATTGATATAAAAAGTATTGATATACATATTACAAAAAACATTTTACACATTTTTGAATGTGGATCTGTCTAGGACGCAATCTGTGATTGCATGAGTCGCTTTTTGTATAATAATTTGTTCATCGCCAGTTGACCAGAATAATATACCTAAATAAAAGCAGAACAAAATGCATTCGAAATAATTATTACGACTATCTAAATTATTGTCAATATTTTTAGACTGGGCCAAAAAAAATGACTATTTTTTTTTTGAAAAATATATCCAGAATGTCATTCAGGATGACAAAAAAAATTTCGTGAAAAGTTGAGCCCTTAATATTAATTTTAAGAGGTCTATCATCGCTATTTTTGATTTTTAGTCATAATTTGATGTTTTACGTTAGAATTTTCAAAATATTAAAGTGAAAAATTCCTTTTTACTTATTTTTATATAAAATTAAATTCTCTACAAAAAAGGTCTGATTGAAAATTTTCGTCAGACCAGCCGTTTCCGAGTAATTGAGCTTAATAGATCGATGTGTTTTTTCGATTTGTCCTTTTTACTTTGAAATTTTGTAACTAATGAATCAATGAATATTTAATAAAGCTGACGTCGGATTCTTAAAGGAAATTTAATGTTCTACAAAGAAGGTCTCTTAAAATTTTGGCCTAAATTTAATCCTTCAAAAGTTATTCACGATTAAAATCGAAGAAAAAAATTCAAATTTTTTGCAGAGAATATAATTTTATATAAAAATAAGTGAAAAGGAATTGTTTTCACTTTAATGTTGTGACAGTTCTTACTTAAAACATCAAATTATGACTAAAAATCAAAAATAGCGATGATAGACCTCTTAAAATTAATATTAAGAGCTCAAATTTTCACGCATTTTTTTTTGTCGTCCTGAATGATATTCTCGATATATTTTTAAAAAAAAAAAGTCAATTTTTTTGGCTCGGTCTAATGAATATATTTTATTTACAAAACTACTTAAACTGATGAAAGTAATGTTTCACATTTATTGTTATTTTAATTATTTTTAATGTTTGATATGGATTTACTTTCTAATTCTAAATTTCACGATTTAAAAAAAAGTCCGAAAAGTAATAAATAAACTTTTAAAATTTTATTTATTTTTTATTTTTAATACCTACCTACCATATTAGAAATTTAAATCGCTTGCTAAATAATTGTTTTATATATTTTTATTTAATCGACTTTAAATTTTTTTTAAATTAGTTAAACGATTTAAAACAACTTACTAATTTTTTTATCCTAAGCCCAATTGTCGTCATTGTTTGAAAAAACAATTAACGAAAAAAAGTCATCTATTTTTCTTGTGAAAATTCACATATAGATATCTATATTTTCCACATTTTTCACACAAAAAGTCTAAAATCAAATCACATTAACAATGTTTTTACTATTTTTTAAAGTGTCCACAAAACTTGCTTACCCATTTTACCACAAATTTAAAAAAAAATATTTTTTTTTTAATATAATGGGAAAGGTTGACTTAAAATGTCTTTTTAATAAAAGTTTCATTCATGGTAAAAAAAATTGTCGGCATATTTGTGACATAACAAGGAAGTCGCGATGAGAGAAATGTACCCGGTATCATAAAAGTAAGTGCGAACATTACGGCCAGTGAAAACAGACTGGCTCATTCGTCGTAAGGACGGTATTTGCAGCGTTGCCAACGCGAGAAAACTAATTTCAGTACACAATTTTCTCGGGAAAACTCTACGAACTTTTGGTTCTTTTCTACGGAAGTTCGGTAGTGGCATCCCATTTTTTTTACCCACTTTTAATTATTGCCAACTTTCTTTTACCTCATTAGTTTATATGATGTGATGTCTTAAAGCTGTTCTACCGCTTTCCGTTCGGTCAAAGTTGAGAGATACCTCATCTATTTCATAGAATATCTCTGTACGCAACCCTCTCTTTGTTTGTGTAAAGACAATTGTACGTGTAATATTTCTATCTTATTTCACCGCTCAGTCTAATGGGACGCCTATCTTTCTCGGTATTCAACTCCACCTGAAAACAGACTGGCCAAGTTTTTCTGTATATTGTAACTATTGTCACGAATTGCATTTAAAAATAATTAGATTTTTATTAAAGATAAAATAAAGTACTTTCCAAAAATATATTTCAACTCAAATTTTAATAAAGCCATTTCCAAAAATATAATTTTATTTCAATCTTTTTAATTTCTATTCAATTCCAATTTGTGTTTAATATTACATTTAAAGTTATTTAAAACAATAACAATCTTTTCGTCTAGTAATTAAAAACTTTATTTTATGTTGAAAATAAAAAATGCACTCAATTCGGTTATGCTGATTCTACAATTTCAAAACAATGTTGGGGTCAGCTAGCCAAATTGACAAAACAAAAAATAACAACATTTTTGGCACAACCGAGGCTATAAGTTCTTCGGCTGTGACGAAAATCGGCAGTAGGTAATACTCTGCTGTATTACAGTAATAAAAATAAAAATAAAAAATAAAGTCGTGACATTCCAGCTTGCTGTTAAAATATGTGGTAAGGTTATCTTATAAATATAATAAAAAATAAAATAAAATAAAAAAGGTATTTCTGAGAAAAGTAACTAGTTGGTTCTTTAAAGTCTTTATAGTGTATATATATATTGTATATTTGGGGTGCATTATTATATTGGGGATTTCTGGACAGTTCAGGGGATTTTAGTTTGTATTTATTAAAGATTTGTAGTTTTTTATGCAGTGACTTTTATTCCTTCCCAAGTAGCGTAAAGCCAAGCCAAGCGTAATAAATCATATGAAAGGTTCTCCAGTGAGTATTTTCGGGTGGCGCAAAGATCTTCCTCAACTGGAAGATCGTTTGGGCGATCCGAAATACGCAGTGACGTACCCCACGATTAGTTGGTTTGCCTAACAAACCACTTAACGTGACACTATTGTGTTGATAGTAATTTCTTTGCAGAGCATATTTTTATTTATTACTTCGACGATGGATTCAAAGGATTCTTTCTTATTAAAGTTTTTTGAGGGTCATCTAGTGGAATTATTTTTTAAATAAATGATTAACTACATTTAAATTATTTTATTTATATTCTAAGGTGAAATAGTAAAGGATTTTTATACATATAATTATTGATCGAATTTTTTGTAAATAAACATTATTGTTGTTATTATTACTAATATTCGATAATATACACTTTATCGGGTCGGTGGTGTAGCGGTCTCACGCGCTTTATTCATTAATAGGTTCAAGGTATTGTCGCATTAGAGTGTGTAGTCATATAAACAGTGTTCCTCAAAAATAACAAAATTAGGTGTTGTTTTCAAATTAATAAAATAAAAATTGTGTATTAGGATATCAGAAAGTCGAATATTCTGAATTGACGAAGATTCCAGAAATAAAACTGTATGTACTTAAATAATATTAACATAATTATTATATTTTCACTTTCAAACAAGCTACTGTTTAAAAATCAGCTGATAAGGTATACGACGAAAAAGTTGAAACTATTCGGATTAAAAGATATGGCTTAAAGGTGACCACGTACCTACTATAAAATTTAAATTGACACATAAATCACTTATGCGAGAATGGAAGATCAATTGACGTTGCAGAGTATATTAGATGAAATTCAAAATAGTAAAAACGATTTAATAAATGTTATAGAAGCCAGTAAGGCTAGACTGCGTCTTGAAATAGAGAGGCAGAATAATAAAATTAAACAATCAACAAAAGAAAACACTTTATTAAAGGAGAAGATAGAAATATTAGATTCAACAAACAGAAAAAATAATATTATTATCTTTATCTTAAATAAATCACCACAGGACGCTACATCACAACTATTTCGCCAAGAGTTAAAACAACTTCTTGAAGTTGATCTAAACGAAAAAGAAATAAATGATATATACTATCTAGGCAAATTATTTAATGCTCCCATTAAAGTTGAATTAACAACATATTTGCAAAAAAGAACCATTCTTAAAAATTGTTATAAATTAAAAGGACTGAACGTCAGTATCGTAAACGATCTTGCACCGAACCAGAGAGAAGAACAAAAAATCTTAAGATACTGCCAAAGAATAGAAAGGGAAAAAAATAACAATTCCAGGTGTTATATAAAACACAATAAACTGATTATTGATGATAACGAGTACACTATTGACGAACTGGCAGGATTAGAACATCCGGAAACGGAAATAAGAAAAGCATCCAGTGTACCAAGAAGGTAATGATGATCAACAATTATTGGAGAAAGAAGAAAGAAATAAAACAACAGAAAACTTGAATATTAAGTTAAACAAGATCAAAAACTAGAGAGTACTCCAAAGCCAAATCCTACGAAATTGCAAATAAGCTAAACAATCGAAATAATCAAAACAGAAACCTTCGTTCAGGATGGACATCTTCACAGAATTCAAAAGCTTCAAAGTAGCAAGAAAATCAATTATTTTTTTTAAATTAACAATTTTTAGCAATAAGATCAATGAAATTATATAATAGGCATATATTTTGTGTTTTTAACTAATAGGAATTATTTTTCAAGAGCTTTTAAACAAATAACTAATCAACAGTTGTCGTTCTATTTTATAATTTTTTTTTTACTAATCTGTTATCTGTTGATTATCAATTACATTATTATTATTAGTCATTATTATGGATCCCTATATAAGAGATATAAATTTTGAATCTTTCAATACTTTAGAAATAGATGGCCTAAATAATTTAAATCAAAGTCTACCAAAAGAAGTGTTTAAAATTTTTCATCAGAATATATACAGTTAATAAAAATTTGGATAACTTAAAAATTCATCTAAGTCAATTAACATTTACTTATGACTGCCTAATTTTGTCGAAAGCCTTGAACATTTTAGATGTAAATTTATTTCAATTAGGATGATACAAAATAATATACAATGGAGGTGAACCGAAACGATGGTGTAGTGGTTTTTATTAAAGATAATATAAGTTATACACAAAATATCATTTCTATAGGACCTTGCGAAGTTATACAATTGAATATAAAATTAAAAGATCATAAGCTCTTATTGTTAACTGCAGTTTACAAGCCACCTCCAATTAATCAGGATCAGGATGAGTTTATTGAGCTTTTAGGAAAGTAACTAGACAAAACTTCAAAACATGCAAAAATTGATGATTATTTAATAATAGGAGATATAAATATAAGAAATATAAATGATTCAGTTTCTAATTATTTAGACGTTTTAACAGAAAATAATTTTATCTCACTCATTAACAAATATACAAGAATTCATGGTAATTCATGGTAGTTGTATAGATCATATATTTTATTCTACAAAAGAGACATATATTAAAAACTGTACTGCATTAACATTTTTATTATATACTTATTTATTCATATTACTTACTATTTATTTTATTTGTTTAATGTTTAAATTGTTTAAATAAGCCGAATTTGTAAAAAGTAGCCTATGCGCAACCTCTTCAATGAGTGTCTTTCTTACTTTATTCGTACTATTTCCAATTAATTAATTCATATTATATTGTTTTCTTTTGAATAAAAATTGTGGTCAGAGATAGACGGGCTTCGGATCCTACGCCGGACCATGTGGATTTTTAATTAAATTGCATGGTTCGGTATAGGATTTGATGTATGCCGTTTTAATAGAAATTCAATTTCTATTGATATGACATGCAGATTATAAAATCAGAATTCTTTTTAAATAAATTAAATAAAAAAATCCCAACAAACGATGGAATTTGATCAATAAATATAAATGTGTGACTAATTAAAACACGAGAGTATTTTAAAATTATAAAAAAAATACATTTACTGGATAGGATAGGATTGAGCCTAGGGAATCATCGAATACTGTCTTATATAAAAAAATTCAGAAAATTTGACAATGTGCATAAAAAAACGGGCTCCTTTTATCAAATTCGAAAATAAAAGATTTGATATAAATGCACAAAGGACCACGCACTTTTCTTATGTAAACCGGAGTACCGTCAAAATGTCTGAATTTTTGATATGTTAAATTACTTACAAAAGTGTTCATGTGCCCAATCCTATCTTATGACTAGATTTTGAGATACAGGGTGTTGAAGTTAGAAATCCCTAGGTCTTTAAAATGGACACCATAAATCACCCTTAAATATTTTTGGAAGTTATTTGCTTATTCTGTGTAGTCAAAATACATACTTAACTACTATAATTAAAATATTGTCCCTTACAGGGTGATTAATGATTCGGCAAATCTTTTTTGGTCAAAGTAGATATTTCCACCGAACAAAAAAAAAGCTGAAATACCGAAATAAAAATATCACCGTCAAAGTCTCTCAATATTTGATATCGTATAGTACTCGATGTACTCGTTCAAAATTCTTATTGGTTAAATTGGATCCCATGACTAGTTTTCCAATTAACTATAACAAGTAGATAACAAATAAATGAATTTTATACCGATATAAGTAGATATTTTCAAGAGAAATATTTTATATTAAATATTTTGACATACTGTGTTAGATTAGGAATATATCCCTTGTACTATTTGGAAACAGACAAAAATTTCGTACTTACAGGGTGATCGCAGTTGAATATGTAATATAAAAAAAACAACATATTGTTGAAATTGTTGCCAAAGAATAGGAAATAATTACCGTGAGTTGTTCATTAAAAAAATATTATAAGTCCACATACAGGGTCATACTTCATTTCAGTACAGAGAATTTTTTTTTTTGGTAATTTTTGAACTACCCTATTTTACAAGCAGTGCAATAGTCCTACAGGGGCTAACACTTAAAACAAAATGTATTAGGGCTTTACCTCATTGGTGACACGAAAAGGAGATCTCAATCTGATATAAATATACAATGTAAAGAGGCAATGCTCCAATGAAATAATGTATGACCCTGTAAGTGACAATATTTTAATTATAGTAGGTAGTTCAGTATGTATTTTGACTACACAGAATGAGCAAATAACTTCCAAAAATATTTAAGGATGATTTATGGTGTCCATTTTAAAGAATTATGGATTTCTAACCTCAACATTCTGTATCTCAAAATCTAGTCATAGGACAGGTACGATTGAGCCCACGTACACTTTTGATGAGAACATAAAGTAATTTAATATATCAAAAAATCAGACATTTTGACGGTACTCCCGTTTTGCATAAGAAAAGTGCGTTGTCCTTTATTAGTTAGTATCTTTTTAGACAAAGTCGCAGAACGTTTTCGCTGTAAATGCTACAACTTGGAAATGCGGCAACGTAGCAAGGCGCCAGTTTCATTCAACATAAGTTACTACCTATGCAGTCAACCAATCGTTTCCTGATTCTTTTCGGCGCAGGCTCCAACGCCACGCGGTTTCCTCTATCGCTGGTCCATCCATCCACCCTCCAGTTTCCAGCGCACGAACGTTTTCGAAGAATTCTGATGAATGCTAATTTTAATTCTTCGTCTATTATCCTTCAATCTCGAATGATAATTTCCTTAATGATCAATCAATCATTCGATTAGATGGCTAGATGTGAACGATCTTCCGTTTTTTTTTCTTTTTAAGAGCAGAAGATTGATATAAGAAGTGACAAGAGTTTAACTTTTTTGTAGATAGAAGCGTATTTAATTATTGTGCGTTATTACTACGGATTTTCAACGAATATTTGTTTTTAGAATGTTAAATTATAAAGTAATAGGTAGATTTAGTAACGATTCTTATATTAAACATAATAAATTTGCTACATTGCATTACATAAATATCAAAAAAAAAAATGTTTCTATACCCTGGATAACTGAAAATATAAATTGAATGTTCAAATTAAAGGAAAATGCTCTAAGTCGTTTTAAAAGAACTAAAAAAGGATCCCACTGGATGTATTATAAAGAATTACGAAACTTTACTAAGTGAGCTGTACCTATCTCACGAGAAAAAGTTATCTGGATTACAAATTAAAAATAATAGGTATACATCACTGAACTACTTTATAGAGAAATAAAAAACTTATTATTGGTATTTTTTTATATGTTCAAGAGTTTCTTTTCTTTTCAAAATTGCTGCCAAGTATTTATAAATCATATGAAACAAATGTACATCATCATCATCATCATACATCACATAAAACGTTTTTATAGTCTTCAGAATCGGTTACAAGTTTATTTTGTAATTTAGATCTATTTATAGATTAAGAGCTCGGAATCCCTTTGCACTCACGCGTCATGTAGCAGGTAAAGCTCGTCAAAATTCAGAATTCTTGTTTTAATAGTTACGAATTCAATTAGAAACTTGACATCTTACGTGTTCAAAGTAATAAACAACAGCTGTAATTAATTGTGTGTTAAGAATATTCATCGGTTCTGCCATTAAATATTAATAAATCATTTCTGTTTGGTGTATTTGTATATAGTTGCATTGTTTCATATGTTTAATACTAATAGACTTGGTACAAATGTTTTTCGTTGTATTTAATTATCGACAGTGTTTTGATGTTATATAAATATTTAATTTACGCAACATAATCCTGACGTCTCTCAAAAGTATTATATATATTTTGTTTAAAACTTTTAATAATATTTCCTACAAAAAAAAAGCAAAATAAAGAATTGAAAACATCAATAAGAGTTTTTATTTGAGTATTGCATGTATGGGGTAATCAGAAACGTATATATACGAAAAGTGGGTTTAAAATTCTTTGGAAAATAAGTTTATATGTTGTGTTATAACATTAATAAATAAATAAATTATGAAATCAATAAAAATAAAACAAAAAACAAAAAATGATCAAAATTTTAGAAAGTATATTTAATGCCTTTGATTTCCTCTATTACATAATATAATTTCTACTTTAAAAGTTAAGCGTAATTATACGTATTACTCATTTATAAGGAGTACTGGAGTTATTCAAAAAGAGGTAGGTGCCTGATGACTAGGCATCTTGGGTTCAGGACTAAATGTATTTACAAATCATGGCATGTTTCCATATATCCTTAAATTGCCCTTTGATGGTTACCAATACAGCTCTTAAATGAAGTTAAAGTCTTTAAGGACCAAGTTATGGTCTAGTCTGTCCTTACTTGGTAAACCACTCATCTAAATTCTTGGTTAAGAGAAAGATGTTGAAGGGAAACTAACAATTATAAGTGATATTGCCTGTCTCCTAGGTGGCACTCATTAACAGAAATCTTCTCACATTAAAATTTAAAAAAAGACAGACCTCATGGAAGAAATAAGGGAGGCTAAGTTGAGACCGAA